GAAAGGGTGGAATTTTGATGAAATCCATAGTGTTTTGAATCCTTCACTCGTGTGTCCCAAAGTCATAGGCAGCTTCAGTTCTCTTAGAGCTGACTGTGTGCTATGTGGTGCAACCTTCTTTTACCTTGGATTAGGAATAGGATGTGCCATTTATTAAACCCTGGCATGTGGGACCTCCTATATGTAGCACAGATAGATATAGAATAATTTATGTCAGTGTGAGGATTACTGTTGGGGATTAGCAAGGATTTGTTCTTTGGGCTTATTTAGATCCTGGCTAAATATGGATGACTATATTTAGGAGAGCTCAGCCAAATTTGTAGATATCCTAGTCCTTGAATAATAGATCACTGGGATTTTTCCCTGACTACAGACGTCTTACAAGCCTTTTCCGTCTAAATCTTAGATTACCCTCGAATGAATTGCTCTTTACAGTAGGTGTTTTCTCACAATCCTGCATATTCTGCTTTGTTAATAATTCATAAACTTCATGTTGCTGTTCTTTATGATCTCCTTGAGAAATAGATGGTCATGCATATTATTATTACTTTCATTATACACATAGGAGGAGTATTACCTTATAAGTGCCTTGAGGACCTCCTGTTTGCCCAGAATCATAGAGCACCCTGGCTGTAGAGGGTGCCCCGTCAGGAACAGAGAGCAGTGGACCTGATTTTTCCTAAAAAATATATTTTGTTTCAGTAGATGGTCAGTGCTTGAGAAAACTATGGTAATGTCATGGTAGTAATGGTGGTAGAGTGGGTTGGCCTACTTTTAGGGTGGACATAACCCTGAAAGTGTTTTTTACCCTTAGCTTATATTGTTAGAATTTTTTTTAATTTTTATTTTTTAGAGAGGGGGCTTATTTATTTTAGGGAGGTTTTGGAAAACTAAATACTTAGAATCTTTGTCTCAAGAGGTTTGGAACTAGTGCTTCTTCATAGATGATAGGTAATCACAGTAAAATGGGTCTTAGAAGTCATTTGTTGCAGAGAATTAAGAAAGCTTGACTCAGGGCACACACTTAGAGATAGAATTGCTGGCTGGGTGTGAGATTCAGTGAACTGTACCCTGATCTGGCCAGACATTTGCTGCTTTCAATCTCAGTTACTTTGTAAAGCCATCTTATAAATTCAGCAGGGAAGGGAATCTGTCCTGTTTTACAAATGAGAAGGCTGAGGTCCAGACTGCTAGCACCATGGCCGATAAGTTCTCAGAATGAGAACTCAGCTTTCTAGGTTTTGATTCATTTTTCTTCTGTGAGATGGATCCATCCATTCCCCTTGCGTTGGGTGCTCTTTCCAATGGACCCTAGCACAGTGCTGTCCTCATACCACCCCTCTGCTTGCTCATGAGGTCACTTCTGAGAGCCCATCATTGTCTGGGAATACTCTGGAAGCCACCTCCCCTTACTCATCCCTCACAAACTCCAATTTGGACCACATGTCCAAAGCCCCAGCTCTCTGGCTCTGCCCTGATTCCTTATGCTTATGCTAGATTTGGGGATTGGAATTGCTAGGGTTTGTTGGTAGGCTTCCACTTGGCAGAACCTGGCTCTCGCCCATGGGTGGTTTGTAGCAAGGATCTTCCTTTCCATCTCCTGCCCTATGGAACCTAATCTTCAGTCCTCCTGTCAGGCTCTTGGATTGATGTGCAAGCTGACTTTGACACCTAGGGCTCAGTGAACAAGCATTTAGTGAAGGAAAGGCTCAACAGTGAAAACTACCAGGACTTCTTAGTCCTCATTCAGTGTTTTCAGTTGATACTGAAATATGTGACACTGTGTTCTTCCTACTACCCAGCTGTAAAATGGAATAACACCCCATCTAACTTGTACGTGAAGTATAGTATGTGTTATTCAGTGTGAACATTCCTTACAAGAAAGCTGTTGTAATCGTCCAGCTACCAAAAATAATGAAGAAGTTACTTGGATATTTGCGAATTTCAAAAGCATAAACTAATTTCAAGTAATGATAAAATGAAACTGTGTTTTAGTGGTAGGCAGCTCAGTTCTAAAGGTGTTTTCTGTTTCAGGAAATGTGACCATAAAATTTTCTTAAGAGAATCCTTTGTGAAGGAACAGAGGTTGATGTTTTTCAAAATAAGGTCTTACCCGAGTAGCTTAGTGGAAAATGGTAAAAGGTGATTGTTAACTATCTGTGAACAAAAGTAACGGACAAGGAGGTGCCAGTGCTTTCCGTGAATATCCTGGCAACAGTTCCAGAAATAGAGCTGTGAGGTCAGAGGGAGAATAGGATGGAGGTGGTGTCTGTGACATCTGAGGGGACTGGGAGGGGTGTGAAGAGAGAGTGTTCTCCCCATATTTCTTGAGAGACTCTTCGAATTTCCCAGCTATCTGCTCTGTTTGCTTGCTTCTGGCAAAGCCAGTGACATGTGCGTGTATAGTCTTTAGTAAGTCTTTTTGGTCTGAGAAGAGGAAATTAAAAAAAAAATCCTTTTTAACTTAATATTTTCAACATGAAAAGCCTGATTCAAAAGTCACACTATATGAAAAAGTACACACAGAGAAATTTCTGCTCTCTCCCAGAGGGTAAACATTTTCACTAGTTTTTACTGTACCTTTCCTATGATTCTGTTTGTAAGAAATTAAACAAATGTGCAGTTTTCCTTTTCCATAAAAAGTAGCATACAGACACACACTTTTGCATATTATTCTTTTGGTTAACACTGCATCTTAGAAATTATGTCATGCTGTTTCTGAAGGACGTCATTCTTGTTGGCCACGTCATGTGGATTTCCCATGGCTTATATAATCAGCCTGCTGTGAGTGGGTATTTGTGTCATTTCTGGGATTTTGCTGTTAGAAATAATGCCATGATAGATAACCTTGTGCATATGATGTTTCATGTTTGTGGAGAGATAATCAGTGTTTTTAATTAATTTTTTAAAGATTTTATTTATTTATTGATGAGAGACAGAGAGAGAGAGAAAGAGGCAGAGACATAGGCAGAGGGAGAAGCAGGCTCCTTGGAGGGAGCCTGATGTGGGACTTGATCCCAGGACCCTGGGATCATGACCTGAGTCAAAGGCAGATGCTCAACCACTGAGCCACCCAGGTGTTCTGATAATCAGTGGTTAAAGCGAAATAACATTGATGGTTTTCCAGATACTGCCAAATTTCCTCCCCAAGAGCCATGTATGAGAGTGTCTGGGAGTTGTGCTGTCTGTAGCAATTCAGGGCTTTTATATACCCTGTTGTAGTTCTGAAGCTCATACACACTCCCATAGATCCCATGCACACATCCGTCCATGTACGTCACGTACCCCCACAACACGGGCAGCTGGGTGTCAAGGAGGTCACGGAAGCCTACCTTTCCCAGGGTCTGTCTCCCTATTAGTGGCAAATCTGGGAGCAGGATCCTGTGTCTTGGTCTGGTTCCCTTTCTGCCATCCTGTAGTCGTAGGACAGTTTGGGGAGAGTCGAGTGTCAAGTTCTAAGAAAGTGTGCCCGTCTCCAGTAGAAACATATCTAACGTGCCACCTGGAAGAACGACCTGGTTTCTCAGCTTATAATAGGGGACTCTAGCGAACTGAATTGTAATTTAGGGCAGAGACCTGAAATTGCTCTTCCTTGCCAAAATAAATTGATTTCTTCAGCTGTCTGAACTTCATTTCTTGAACTGGGCAGGAACTAACGTAGTCTAAATTAAACTCATTTTCCATTAATAAAACTGTGTCAATTCAGGCCACCCGAGTGTGCTTCTGAGTGTCTAAAGCACATTAAAAACAAACAAACAGTGTTTCACACTCTTTTCATAACCCATCTGATTTAGCTAGTGTAACACAAAATATCTGCATTCACCTTTCCCTTGGCACTCTGCTCTAGAGTTGGCATCTGCTTCTGAAACTTCCTTATAGCCGTTGGGAAGACTGTTGCAGGAGGGTATTGCCATACACCTGCTAGGGCTGGGAAAGGCAGAGGAAGGATGCCTGGGTCTGGGGGTCGGGGTGGCGGTGGGGGATTGGTGAGACACTTAGCCCCTGCCTTGCTCAAAGAAAGCTTTGTTTTCTTTTCTTTTCTTTTTCTTTTTTTTTTTTTTGAAAGCTTTGTTTTCACCATGCCTTTCCCTGTTTTCCTGCTGGTTGCTTTGCAAAGCACTATAATACTTCGAAAGTATTGTTTGTACATAGGGTCCAGTGAACTGGATCACAAATGTAGGAAATTGTGAATTTAAAAAAATGATAGCACAAGCTAAAGAATTTTAGAAAAATCTTGTTCAGGTGCATAGAGTGTTTCTGCTTGGAGCAGAAACCCAGAGACCAGGGCACTTAGTCTCAGCTGTTGATGTGGGAGGTAGTTAGTGCCCCAGGGTCTCATTACACCTGTTCTGCCCTCCAGGATGTCAAGTGTCAGACTTCCTCGGGAAGCTCTGGGGAGGCTTCTGTTGTCTTTCCTTGCCCGCTTCCTCCCTGTTTCTCCTCCCCGGGAATGAGGGCATTGATGCTGGCCAGTGAAACCTGATTTACAAAGTCGGGCAGATGCGGATCCCCACTGGGTGACCGGATTTGAATATGGACTTTGGAATATTCTGAAATATAAAGATCTGGAAATATTGAAACTGGGAGAGGGGAATAGCTTTCAAAAATGAAAGGTGGAAAATGGAGATATTTGTAGTATTTTATTTTTAGTGTATTTTAGATATTTGAAGTATGGTACCATATGAGTTTTTAAAAATGGATTGTCTTTGGTTTACCTTTTTAATGAATTGGTCATGCCCATGTATTTAGGGATATAAAAGGCTAGAAAAATGATCAGGAAGTAGATGTTTTCCTATGTTTTCTTGCCTTTTAAAAAATTAAAGAAATTAACAGGTCATCGTGGGGGTGGATCTCCCTCTGATTCTTTGTCTCTCCTAACCCTCTGCTTTTCACACTTCAAGGTCTATCAACTCACCCATCTTTGTGCCTTTTTGTCAGATGTTATTAACAATACACAGATGACTTTCCATTGACAAAGTTTTTATTTCTTCTATTTTCAGTGCACAGAGGCCAAAAAACATTGCTGGTATTTTGAAGGACTCTATCCAACATATTATATGTAAGTATTTGCATTTTTCTATTGGTTTGATTTGTGGTCACATCTTTCTCTGGGAATTATTTCTTTCAGAGGCAATAGGACTTTTTTAGGATGGGGAAAACTCAGTCCAGGGAGGCCTTCACCCTTGGTTTCACCGGCCTCTGCTCATGAACGTGCAGGTGACCTCTCTAAGGACACAGCCTGTGCGGACAACCTCCTTTGAGGACAGCATGAAATACCGGGTGCTTTGTTCTGGGATACATATCCACTCATCCATAATTGGTCAAAAGGAGCAAGATGTCTTAGGAGGGCCAGGGTGATGTTGGTTTATACACATTTTCCCAGGCAAAGGGAGAAAATGTAGTAAGAGTAGAATTCTGAACTTGAGCAGGATAGAAAAAAACCCTTACATCAGTTGCTATGAGTGTGTGTGTGTGTGTGTGTGTGTGTGTGTGTGTGTGTGTGTTGACAGTGGTCAAAAAGATCACCTGGGCCTGGGACCCTCCCTAGACAGGGGACAGTCAGCCTTTCATGGCCCTTGGCTTAGAGTAGGTTATGCTTCTTCCAGTGCCCTGGGTGCCTGCTGGTGTTACTCTGATTAAAGCATTATTGTATTTTACTCCTGTCGTTTTCTGTTTTTTTTTTTTTTTTTTTTTTTTTAATGTCTGCTGAGTTAGCCCCTGACTATGCTGAACACCTGCCTAAGTAGTCAGATTAACTCTCCAGGTTATCAGTTATTCTTTTATTGTGTTTTGAAGTTCTGTAGGCTTTGAGAGGAATGCCCCACACCAATTTTTTTTCTAGAAAGTATTATTTTTGACAGTACATTTTGTAAAACATGAGATCATTCAGTAATGTATATAATTACATTATGGCAGAAATACTGTATATTTTAGCTATAGGGAGATTGGACAGGAGATACATCATAGTAACAAGGAATGTTATTTCTTAATTGGCCAACATGTACATTTTTATTTCCTGCCGTTCTTGGAGAATTTATTTTTCATTTTTTTCTAGATTTTATTTATTTACTCATGAGAGACACAGAGAGAGAGGCAGAGACATAGGCAGAGAGAGAAGCAGGCTCCTCACAGGGAGCCCAATGTGGGACTTGACCCCCTGACCGGTTTCCCGTCCTGAGCCAAAGGCAGACGCTCAACTGCTGAGCCATCCAGGCATTCCTTTTTCTTCATTTTTTTTTTAAGATTTTTATTTATTTATTTATGAGAGACACACAGAGAGAGGCAGAGACACAGGCAGAGGGAGAAGCAAGCTCCATGCAGGGAGCCTGATGTGAGACTCAATTCCGGGACTCTGGGATCATGCCCTGAGCTAAAGGCAGACACTCCATCGCTGAGCCACCGAGATGTCCCTCTTGAGGAATTTCTGATCTGAAAGAGACCAGAATAGAAGGAGGGTGGTCACCTGCCTGTGAATGGGGACATGCTGACAAGCAGGGGTTTCCAGTGCCCCACAGTGCAGAGTTCAGGCTGAAGGCCTCTGCAGCTGCAAAAAGACAAAACCCACTTGGAAAAGTTGGTTAAGCAGTTAACCAACTGAGCCACCCAGGTGCCCCTGAAAACAGATCTTTCTCAAGTTGTTTTGTAGATCAGCTGATGAGCCATTTCCTGTTTTTAAAAAATATTTATTTATTTATTTTATTTTATTTTTTTAAAAGTTTTTTTTTTAATTTAATTATTCATGATAGTCACACAGAGAGAGACAGAGAGGCAGAGGGAGAAGCAGGCTCCATGCACCGGGAGCCCGACGTGGGACTCGATCCCGGGCCTCCAGGATCGCGCCCTGGGCCAAAGGCAGGCGCCAAACCTCTGCGCCACCCAGGAATCCCTATTTATTTATTTTAGAGAGAGAGCAGGTGCATGCATGCATGCAGGTGAGCTCGTGTGAGCGGGAGGTGGGGCAGGGGAAGAGGGAGAGAGAATCCCAAGCAGATTCCCTGCTGAGCCTGAAGGCCCAAGTCGGGTTCAGTCTCACAACCCTAAGATGGTCACCTGAGCCAAAGTCAAGAGTTGGTCGGTCTCCTAACCCACTGAGCCACCACCCGGGTGCTCTTATTTCCTGTTTTTTTTAAGGTTGGGAGTTGGAAGTCATTGCCATTCTTGTGTTTACTTGTTTGTTTAATCCTTTATTCACTTACTTATTCCCTGTATTTGGAAAGGGGTTTTTGTATGACAGAGAGCAGAGACAAGCCCTGTTCTTGTCTTTAGTGTGGTTGGTCTGCTGGTTTGGATTCCTCTCAGCTCTCTTTACCAGTGGTGAGGAGGGTTCTAAAAATTAGAAAGTACGTACGTATGTATTTTTAATTTTACTTGTTTATTCATGAGAAGTAGAGAGAAAGAGAGAGAGGCAGAGACACAGGCAGAGAGAGAGGCAGGCTCCACGCAGGGAGCCCGATGTGGGACTCAATCCTGGGTCTCCAGGATCATGCCCTGGGCCAAAGGCAGGGGCTAAACCGCTGAGCCACCCAGAGATCCCCTAAAAATTAGAAAGTAAAATCACTCGATTATTAGGGTGTGAAGCTAATATAAAAAGTGATAATAGTAATACTGAGAATTTTACTATAGCCTAGGCATTGTCCTATACCTCTTACATGAATTAATGCCATTTAACTCCACAGCCACTTGAAAACCCGAGCCATACACACTAGTCTTCGAGAACTGACCTCTGGTCTCTCTGTCCCCTTCACCTGAATCCACACCTGTGTTAATGCTCTTCTGAACCATTGCACATTCTTTCTGTTTTACCCAGCTTTCTTGAGATATAATTGATGTATATAACATTGTGTAAATTTAAAGTGTTGATCTGAGATATATTATAAACTACCACCATAAGCTTTAGCTGACACCTCCATTGGATCCCATAATTGCTTCTTCTTCTTTTGTGGTGAGAACACTTAGATTTACCGTCTTAGCAACTTGAAAGTATATAATGCAGTACTGTCAGCTATAAAAACCAGGCTATACTTCACATCTCCAGAACTTACTCATCTTACTACTGGGAATTTTTGCTCTTTGACCCATGTCTCCTCAGGCTCTGGCAGCCACTATTTTACTGTCTCTGACTTTGGCTTTCTTGGATTCCACACGTAAGAGAGAGCGTACAGTGTTGTCTTCCTCCGACTTATTTCATTCTCCATAATGCCCTCAAGGTACATCTGTGTTGTTGCAAATGCAAGAACTTCCCTCTTTCTTGTGGGTGAATAATATTTCATTTTGTGTGTACATCTTATTTAGGTTGCTTTCGTATCATAGCTATTGTGGATGATGCTGCAGTGAACACAGGAGTGCAGGTAGCTCTTCAAGATCCTATTTTCCTTTCCTTTCCATGTTTACCTAAAGGTGGGATTGCTGGATCATATATTATGATTTTATTTTTAACTTTTTGAGGACTCTCCTTTTTTTTTTAAAGATTTTATTTATTCATGAGAGACACAGGGAGAGAGGCAGAGACACAGGCAGAGGGAGAAGCAGGATCCATGCAGGGAGCCTAATGCGGGACGGGATCCTAGACCCCGGGATCACGCCCTGAGCCAAAGGCAGCCACTCAACCGCTGAGCCCCCCAGGCGTCCCTTGAGGACTCTGCTTACTGCTTTCCAGAGTGGCTGACCCAGTTTACAATTCCAGCAGTGCACGGGGTTCCCCTGTCTCTATATCTGGACACTTGTTATGGCTTATCTTTTTGATGATCGCCACTTTAAGAGGTGTGAAGTGATACCCCTGTGTGGTCTTGATTTGCCTTTCCCTCATAATGAGGAACCTTGAGCACTTCATCATGTCCTTGTTGGCCATTTATTTGTCCTCTTTGGATAACAGTCTATTCAGTTCTTCTGCCCTTTTTAATCAGATTATCATTATTGCTATTTTCCCTTATTGAGTTGTAGGAGTTCCTTGTATATTTGGGATCTTATCCCCTTACCTGTTAAATGGTTTACACATGTTTTCTCCCTTTCCTTGGGTTGCCTTTTCATTTTGTTGATTGTTCCTTTTGCTATGTAGTAGCTTTTTAATTTTTTTAAATTATTTATTTATTTATGAGAGACACAGAGAGGGGCCAGAGACACAGGCAGAGGGAGAAGCAGGCTCCCTGCAGGGAGCCCGATGAGGGACTCGATCCCAGGACCCCAGGATCACGACTTGAGTCGAAGGCAGACGCTCAACCACAGAGCCCCCCAGGCATCCCTAGTAGCTTTTTAGTTTAATGTAGTGTAGCCCTTTCTATTGATGTTTGTGCTTTTGCTATCAGATCCAAAAACTTGTTGCCAGGACAGATATTGAGGAGCTTCTTCCCTATATTTTCTATTATGATTTTTAGTTTATGAGGTGTTACAAGTCCTTGATCCATTCCAAGTTAATTTTTGTGAGTGATGTGTGATAGAGGTCCAATTTTGTTATCCTGCATGCATTTCTTCAGCTTTCCCAGCACCATTTGTTGAAGCGACCATTCTTTCCTCACAGAGTCTTGGCTCCCTTGTCAAGTATTAATTGACTGTATATGGGAGAGGTTATGTCTGGGCTCTCTGTTCTGTTCTTTTGGTCACTGTGTCTTTTTATGCTAGCATCAACTGTTTTCATTACTGTAGCTTTATGGTACACTTGAAATCAGGAAGTGTGGTACATCCAGCTTTGTTCTTTCTCAGGATTGCTTTGGCTATTCCTGGTCTCTTGTTTCATGCAGATTTTAGGACTTTTTTTTTTCTATTTCTGTGAAAAATGCCATTGGAATTTTGATAGAGATTGCATTGAATATATAGATGGCTTTTTAAAAGATTTTATTTATTTATTAGCTAGAGAGGGGGAAGAGCAGAGGGAGAGGGATGACGTGGGGCTCGATCCCAGGACCACAGGATCATGACCTGAGCTGAAGGCAGATGCTTAACTGACTGAGCCACCCAGGGGCCCCTCTGGCTCCCTTTCCTTAGTCATAGACTTTAAGTGCTCTAGGATCCAGAAGATCAGGGTTCAAATATTTGCTCTATGACTTTCTTTTTAATTGAGGTGAA